TTGAATACTTAGACTGTTATGATCCATTCATAATTACCTAAAAGCATTCACACTTGGAATCTGCGCCGGAGCTCACCAAATTTTTATTTATTTATTAAATAATTCAAGTAATCTGATTTTTTTGTAAGCGACAGGGTTTATTAGTACTTAGTCCTGGAACAATGTTTTGTCACCTAAATGTCAACAGAAACGATAGTCAAATAAAAACATAGCATAAAAGTAATTCTAAATAATCACTTTATTCCCTTTAATTCCAGCGTAGACATTTCATGATGAATTAATTTTATGGCTCAATAAAAAAATCGAGCTGTACTAAATGTGGGACAGTTACTGCGTGTATCTGAAACACCAAATATACAACAACGATTATCAGGAAGAAGCCTGTCTGTGGATGGAAGACATGTTGTAAAAGCGAAGTAGAAGTGTGACACCTTAAGTTTTTTGTTCGGTGAACCTTCCGTGGTAATTGATTTTTGAACTGATATTTTTGTAATTAAGTATTGACAAATCTTGAGTTTCAGATTTTTCAAGTGCTACAAATTTTCCTTTTTTAAAGTATACGGGTTCTCTTACTTTCCCAATTTGTTTTTCTTGTCACTGAGTTTATGGAATTTCATTTTCACTTTATGAATAAGTTTTGTATTTATGTGTTGTGTCTCATGGTTCTCATAATCATATCATTCTGTGTGAGTATTTTTTATTATATTTGCTTTGGCGCTGTGATTGTGATTATTACTGCTTTGTCCTTTGCCATACCATTATCTAATGTGGATACTAGGAATAATGTACGCACCCAATGTAACAAGTACATCTGATGTATGTGGTGTGCGTTTCGTTTTCATACTAAATGAATTAACGCTCGGTAGAACAGCATTACAAAAACAAAATTGCAAAGAAATTATAAACCAAAATCTCAGAAAAGGCGGAAGGATTCAGATCCCGATTTAAAAAAGCACGAAGCGTAAAGAAAGTGAAGTGCCTACATGGAGTGGATGGGCATAATTTTGATTTATTCGTGTGGGAATAGAATGTCTTTAAGACTGTTTTGGTCTGAACACAGAATGCGTTTGTGTTTTATGGTTTTCTGCTTTTTAAAATATGAACTTTTATTATGAAGTTAAGATTTTTTATCTAGAATAAAAGAGATTTAAAAATTAATTAAATGCTTTAATATTTTGCAAAAACAATTTGAATATTGAATTTGATAAAATGTTAAGCAAAAACTTTTTAAATGCTGTTAGTGGAAATGCGAAGGGGCGAAATATGCAGAAGGCATTAATATGCAATAAGGGTATTCCATAAATAATAAATAAACTAGAATATGTTACAGAGAGTAAATATCTACAATGCAAACAAGCTGAGGCACTATTTGTGCTAGTTTCACTAGGCAATATGGTTCCTTATTAAAATCCTATGCAGTGGCATATCCTCGCAAATCTACATAAAAGCTTTGCGGCGATATGCAAATCAACAGTAAGAGGAGAACAGAAAGCACTTCTCTTTTACGTACATTTCTGCTTTTTAATTGTGTTTAGTAACATGTAGCATTAGTTTAGTAACATTACTAAGGAAAAGTCGATCTCGTCACTTAATAGAAGTCCCTACATTCTGACAAGCATTAAGAATATTCTAATATATATGGGATTCTAAACATTTTTATATATTACAGCCATCAGTTCGATATATTATTAAAAGTTTATATCAATATATACTAGTCTATCAAATGTTATGCTATCCATTGATTTTTTGAGAAATCAACCACAATCAGAGCAGACCTGCATAATTTATTTTATTGTATATTTATTACAAATATTTGGTATTCAGTTGGAATTAGGTATTTGATAAATGTAGACTTCTTCGCTGAATTTGATTCGGATTAGTTTTATAGAAGTGTATACATGTAAAGGGACTTGGTTTTGTAGAAGTGTATACATGTAAAGGGGCCTGAAAACTATTATTTAACAGCTTAGTTATTTCTACTGAAGAATTATACAACTAAGACACGTGCTAAATATACGCAGTAAAGTTCACTGATAATAAATTAACAAATAAGAATTATGAGCGCACGTTGAGTCTTGACTGAACGCACATATCACAAATAGAAAATGTTTTGGGTTAATTGAACTTCAAACGCAATTTCAGGGCATATTTTATTAGTAAAATAGTTTTTTCAAAACGTGCTTTGAAAGCACCAAGTGCGAACAGGCTCTTGAAGAGTTGGACCAACAATGGCAAGTTTTTTATGGTCAACATTCAATTTTTTGATTTACTATCCTTAGTGTTAGCACTGACAGTTTTTATACTTTGTAAATTTATTTGAATCTAATGTTTAAGTTTTCAAAATTCTTTAAAATTCGTTTATGCTTTTGATCGAAAAGCATGAATATTTTGATTTTGTCTTTGTTTTGATAGTCTCCTTCACAATACTTGACATTACCGATTGCAAAATATGCTATCGAACTCATACCACCTTTAATAGGATATGGTTTCTTCGGAGTCACACTGCTTAGCACACATGCAACATGTTGGAAACTTAATTCGAACTTAATGCAGTTCGTTTCTAATTTCATGCGAAGTCTTCTGTTCTGAACTATGCTCTCTTCTGTTGACATTGTTTAAGTCACAAGCTCTTTATTGTATTTGCAAGAGAAATTTAAAATTAAAAATGCTTTTGGCTTATTTCTTGTAGAAATAAAATTCTCAGCATGTTCCAAAGTATATAATTACGCTACAATAGGCACTCAGCAACTATTTCGTAAATTATTGGTATGTGTACTAGACGTATTCCATATATTATACATATGTCATGTCAACTTTGGACAGAATTTACTGGATTAAATATGATACTATATACGATTTAAGCTCTAGGAAAGTACGGGTAACGCAATTATTTAAGGATTTATTTAATTATCGTTTATTAAAAATAAAATTAATTTTATATTGGTATTATTATTGTATCTTACATTTCATATATATACAGAATATATTTAACAAAGTATATCTTCAGGGAGTCAAATATAAATATGTAGCTTTGTTTAAATTAATGAAATCCATTGTCTGTGCGACTCTTTGTGCTGCTAGTCAGAAAGCCTTTACAATACTTACGTTTGTTACATCAATACATTGAACCTTCTTTAATTTTAGAACTTCAACAGGCTTAGAGTCGAAAATATTGGTTAAAAATATTAAGAGCATAAATAAACATTTTTCTACAAATGGCTTAAAGTTGTTTTAATATATGTATGTATATGCATATGAATGTATATATTGCGTTGTTTTTTTTGGCATTTTCGAACATAAGTACCCTCTTGCTATAAGTAGATGAGTATGAATTTCGAAATACTCATAAAAAATGAGACTTTAATTTTATATTAAATAAACATTTTGTTTTTACATTAAAAAACTTTCAGATTTAGTTTATTTTGCAAATACTCAAATAGTGTCCATTTAATAATCACAAAACTTTAGAGTATTTATGCATATCAAATTCTGTAGCTACAAGAGTAGCGAGTTTTCCTTATGTTGCGTATTTTTTATAATTCATGTTCGAAAAATGAACTGAAGTCTGAATACTCGTATACCGACAGCATTGCAAATTGTTGCTATGCGTTTCGTTCGGAAGCCGTCAACAGCTTTCATTGGACATGCGTTCATAAAAAATACTCCCTTTAAAGAGATCCACACTTATTCGTTACTAACCAAATTGCTGAATACATAATATGCGGAATACAAATCCAAATAAGAGCAATTTTAATATGGATTCAAATGTGGGAAAATTCTACGAATTTTCGAAGTCTAATTGCGTTGCTCAGTAGTGCAGCGCTTGTTTGATTTTATTTGTTAGTGGATGTGTTTTTCTTTCACATAAACTAAGCTCGAAATTATTATTAAAAATGTACATTTTAAGTTGCTGCTTGTGCGTCATGAGTATATCGAATCTCGAATCTCGAATCTCGAATCTCGCATCCCGTATGCGAATGCTCAATGTGGTGTGCGCTTTTGTTGTTATTGAGTTGCTACTTTTGTTGATGCTATTTTTGAAAATGTAGCTGCATTTTCGACTTTATGTGCGGAAATTGCCGTTAGTTCGGGTTTAGCTTTGATTGAGTGTTGACGGTCGTATCGGAATGATGTGCGTTCTATCATTGCCGTGAAAAAAGCATAAATTCAATAAACAAACACACACACGTGCATTGATCTATCCACTAAATTTTCGGTGCCTACCGAATTCTGTATGCTGGATGTAAGTTTTTTTCTTCTTTGTACGCTTGTTTGTATACAGTCGTGTGTAGCCCGCGTGAGCTTATGTGCTTAAAAGGAGCAGAAAAGTACAAGTTCTTGGTAATGGCTGAAAAACGATGTTAAGATGGATCTCGTGTTGTGTCATTAAGAAAGTGAAATTTCGTTTTAGAAAATACTTTCGCAATTTAAATTTCCATAAATTGATTCGGTAACTGAGAACGTGCACGCGATTGTGAAACTGTAAAACTAACAACCTCATCTCAATGCCTCCCTTCGGTAAAGAGTCTTTGTTGTTTCTTAAGAGCCGAAGACTAAAAAATTTTTTCTAATAAAAGCATTAAAAATTGATAATTGATATATGTTAATATTTGAACGTTGGTTTAACATTCATTTAATTGCAGAAAAAGTTGTGCTCTAACAAAAATTAACATTTTTCGCTCCTTTCTTAACATACCTAAAAGCGAAATTTGCAAAACTATAAAATCTCGGGTTTTTACGAATGCCGTTAGTTTATTTGTGGTGAAATCTAATAAAAGAGTTTCTAAATATTATTAAATAAATGTAAGCATATTGACTACATATGCCATTATCTACTGGAAACTGTTACTCCTGTTAAAATGATTTGACAAGATAAAGCTATTGCATTATTCAATTTATTGCTTTAAGTCTGAATTATGTTTTCTTAACGATATTAGAAAAATAAAATATCAAAAAATATTTTTTAACTTAATTCGGTCGATGTATTTTTGTATGTTTTTAATTGGCAATATGCACAAACTTCGGCAGCCGCTCTACTACTGATTTTTTGATATCTCATTACATTAGCTAAATAAAATAAAAAATTGAACAATTTATTGAACCGCTTCAAAAGCAATAGCAACAACAATTGTAGGTGCAACATAACAAATGACGACGTTTTCAGCTGATGACGTCAAAACAGCAATCATAGGGGATATCATCATCATAGACTTAATAAAAATATTTTACCAACAACAGAAAAAACCGCCACAAAAATGAAGTCGCAGCGAAGTCAACAGGCCATTTATCCAGCAATTATGGCTACTTTTGCATCAAATTCAACAAACCAAAGAACTGTACGTCACAATGAATTCAGCCACCAATATGGTGGCCATAATGTCAATTGCCGTTTTAGAACATATAGACCACAGCAACAGGCACATGCACAGGCACATGCCCAGGCCCAGCAGCAACTACAAAGAACACAGGAGTTTCAACAAAAGCATTGCCTACAATATTCAAAGACAGCCTTTTTAGGTAAGTTCCTCGCAATAAAGTCCACGTTTTTTTGTTTCCCATAAAACCGTTATTGTTTATAATTGGTCTCCCTCAACCGTATATGCTAACTAATTTTATTTTTCCGAAATTGTAAAAAAAGTATATAGATAAATTAAAAAAGTTTTGTAGAAATAGGCAAAATAACTTCCTTATCTCATCAAAAAATTTATTTCAAATATAATATCAATAATATTTCTTTTGCGGTATGTATTTTCATTATCCAGTTTTAGATTCGAACTCTAAACAGTAGCTGGTTTTTTATTATAGTTCATAAATATAATTATAATTAATCGGTAAACTTTTCTATGCAGCTATTCGTTTTAATTAGAAGTTATATAATTTAGTTTTAGATAGAATGCTTTCCGCCATAATGTCTCCCACCGCAGAACAGGAAGTAATTAAATGTTTAATATAAATAAAAATGATTAAAAAGCAGAGCATGAGTTTCTTCAATGATACACGTACATTGAACTATTGGACACTTGTTACACTTCTACATAAGGCTGGGTTGGGTTGGGTTGGGTTTTGGCTTCAGAATTCTTGCAAAGCAATACTGGCAAAATGCATTTTCACCGTAATTATGCAAACTACAATCAAATTGGTAGTCCATTAAATATAAGGAAAGCAAAGTCGAAAATTAATATGTTCTCATATTATAAATAAAAATTGAACTTTATTACAGCTAATAATTATACAATGTAGAATACAAATGAAATAAAACCTACTGTAATAAATGTAGACAATTGAAGAATTAGAAAATAATAGGAAGTAATAATTGCCTTAAAAAATTTTATATTTTTTAAATAATACATAGTTGAAATTACACACGTTTTTGATTTTTTTTTTTGATTTCCAAATACAAAACAATTGATAAGCGAATAGCGTGTTTGAAATTTTCTTATATTGTATATCTTGTATATCTTATTTTGTGAAAATACTGAATCCGTCACCATTACGTGGTAATCATATCATATATTCATTAAAATTTCTTCAAGCTGTAATTTAGCAAGTATATTGTATAATAACTTTTTCACGAGCCGAGAGAAAATTGATAAATATCGAATCTTATTTCATTCATTTTGTGGTTGAACTATGTGTTTATATACAACGCGACTCTATTGACCTTATTTAACCAAACTAACCTAACATTTCATACACCTGTGACTACTGTACGATTTAGCAATCAAACTGTCAATCCAATAGTTGACACAATTGTACGCAGTTGTAATAGGAATGAGTGTGTTTTTGACAGAACGGAACGGAGTTAATTTGAAATGAAGAGGTTGCACAATGCATTGTGTCATTCAAAAGCAGTGTGTAGCCTAGTGCAGCAACAACCACAAATTTTTATAGAGTCTTGGCTATTAACTTGTTAGACCGCAACAGCGAGCAGCAAATTTTTGTCAATCATTTAGTGTCAATAACCGAACCATGTCTGAACGCATACCTGTGGAGCGGCTTATTATGCCCTTTCGAAGCTTCTCAAAATGGTGCAACTTGCGGTTTGAGTAAAAGGGCAAACCTGCAACAAACTTATGTGCTTAAGTGTGTTTGAATTGCTGTTATAGTTCACTATAAAAAGTATTGTTTCTATACATTGAACTTAAACTTTTACGTTTTGAAAAATAAGGAAACAGGAGTATAAACACAATGTCCTCCCGATACTTTTCACATAATCTTGTTTTTCAAAATATCTCCAAACGATCAGATATTTGCTTACATATCAAAACATCTTTTGCTGCGATATCCATGAAAACTTGAGTTTATAAACGTTCTATAGCTTGCTGCCATGCAACTATGTATTTCGTCAGTGGCTACCGAACAGCTTATTTCCGGTAATTAGTTTTTCTACTGCGCATACAACTATAAATACGATTACTTATACAGCACGCCTCCTTGTGAGTAAAAAATCAACTGCTTTTTGTAATTATTGCTGCATTTGTTGTTTGTATGGAAGTGAAGTTGTTTATGCAAAAAGTTTGAAGAGTCACGTAACGCATAAAAACTGTTTTCCGTTCCTTGCCGTACTCCAAATCAGGTACGGTAAACACCTGATTTGGTGTTCACTGTACTTTTACGTTTCTGCTGATAACAGGAGTTATGAAATACAGTGGATCAAATAAGAGCACTGATCACAGTTGATATCTTCAGAATTTTTCCACGATTAGCGACTTTATGCGTGTGTTTTGTTACACATATGTTTATATCAGTGCTTAGTGTTTTTTTTCACTTTCCTTCAATACATATTGTCCCAGACTATTATGGTTCTTCATGTTTAAGTAATGCTTCAAGAAAGCACTAACTGAAAACAGGCAAGTGAACATCCTCTGTACAGTCCACTCTGTAAAGTCCAGTAAAGTCCACTTTTAACGTGGAATCCAAATCAAATCTCAGACTTAGTTCATTGTTTTGTAATTCTATTCTAGATTTATTGATGTGTGTTTGATGCTTTTTTTTTGTCTTATACAGTTAAACCAATTTGTTGTAGTAAAAACACCTCCAAATTTTGTGGTTATTAAATACGACTTTAGCTCTTATAGTAGTTTATGCTCTTGTTAAAAATATTGGTGGTAAACATTGATATTGTAGTTAGACTGACAGACAGTTGAATTTTGTTTATTTAAATTTGTTCATGTGAAATTTTGGGTGTGGACTAATACAAATGTAAATGATGCAGATGACGAGGTTGACTGCTAAATGTCGTTCTAGATATGAATGTTAGTGATGTTGACCATAAACTATTTGATGATTACCCACGATAATGATTTGAAGACATACATTTGTACCTCTATGTGCATTTAATTGATCTGGAGTATTCGTAAATTTTTGAATATAATTTAATGTAAATAACGCAGAATATCATTTACAATTATATTTATATATAGGTAAAACGTTAAAATTTTGTATAATTCTTAACTATTTGTGCGGTTATTTCCTTATTTGTAGTAACAAAATTATCAATCAGTTAGCTTTTGAATGGCAATGGAATTGATTTAATAAATTAACCTTATTCAAATTTGTCCCCAATTTAGTTTCTGCCCACAATTCTTTATATATACATATGCATCTTCGTTTAATTTGTTATGCCAATACAATCGTATCTGCGACTATTTTTGGCATCATCTACTTTAAAAGATTTCGTAAATTGTTAACTCTATATTTTACAATTATTGTGTTTCGTATTTATCTGCAACATTTTAGTTTTGATTTTTGTTTGTTGTTTTGACTTGTGCAAGACATAACCGCGGCCCACACATTCCTGGTGGAAACAGATAAACCATAGAAAAAAAAACTTATGTTGGTGGTTTTCGGTCAAATAAATGATAAATGAATTTTATTTAAACAAAATAATATAAACACAACTTGAAGTACAACAAAAGCAGACAATGTGTTTAATTAATAAAAAAAAAATAAAATAAAACAAACCAAATACTTAACTTTGGCTTTGCCGAACTGAAAATACTTTACACACAGACTTGTATCAAATTAACTAAATTATGTTTTGAAACTTAGAAATGTTAGTTTACTAGCATCTAACCTTTTTTAACTACTGATTCAGTTTGGATGATAATACTTAACATCGAAGTCCAGTGAAAATATAATTACAAGGAAAAAGGTTTTCTGTAAAATCTTGTATCTCAAGTGTCAGTTTATAGGGCGTCTGTATTGAATTCTGAACACCTTTAATGTATCAATTTAAAATATACATAACTCCAATCGTTTTCATATCATAAATAATTGAGTAATATCGCTTTTGATTGTGCAGAACTTTGGATACAAATAGTTTATAGTTGTCAAAATATTAAGTAGAAATGCAAATTTGTCTATGTTAAAAACTAAGAGACTATGTTAGTTTGCATTTTAATATAAATATTTTTTTTAGATCTACAGACAAACGGACTTCTAAACATCGGTTCTGTCCGTTGAGTTGATCAAGATATGTTATTATATAATTTAAGAAATCAGGAATAAATATTTTCCTAAGATATAAATGATTATTAAAATTTATATACCCTGTTTACAGTATGTATGGGTATAAAAATTGTCAAAAAGCAACATTGAAATGTGGAAGTGTGATTTAATAAAGTTGCCAAGAAAAAACAGTTGTCTACACGCCCCATAAATTTTCTGTGAGAGCTCGAATATGAATCACGTTGAGTTTCTAGCAGCAACCGATGTTGTCTGTGGCTTTGTGGAGCAAAACTGTTTCTGCTTTTAGATGTTTTCAGGGCATATGTTTTCGCGCTTGCAGTAAATAAACGTGAAATGAAGTTTGAAGTGACTTAACAAATTTTGATATAGATTACTCGTTGAAATGGGCGGATACATACTGAAATGACGCTTTCAGCCTGAACTTACAGGCACAGTAGTCTCTTTGATCAGAACACTTTTTTATATTTTTATGAATATATATAAGAATATTTTTGCATATCAATAATTGGGGACGTCTTTATTATTTTTATGTTACAAATTAACATAAAAATTTATATTCAATTGAAAGATAAAAAAGAAAACATTTTATTATTGATCTTTCCATTTAGTATTATTGTGATCCTTTTGTACGAATATTAAAAACATATTTTTACTCTGAAATAATATTTTTACATTATCTGACATTTCTTCTTTCACACAACAAAATTTCATAGTAATTGACCGTCTAGTTTTCAAGTATATAATTTATACACAAATACGATAAAATTATGAATTTATATTACTCAGAGAATATTCATATTATCATATTCGGAAAAAGTCGTGTGAAAGTAGGCTTGTATTTATATTATTAACCAAAAATATCATTTGAAAAGAAGTCAGTCGTGAGGTTCAAAACATATTCATAAATGATTAATGATACTGTTATTTAATCCTTACACGTATACATTGAAAAATGTTTACATCAAAATAATTTATCGATATTTCGACAATCTATGATTATACATTCTGAAACAACTAACAAAATATAGCATTATAGATTATTTATA